GATTCATATTTGACTGCCTTCAGTTCTATAGATCTTCATTTGATTGACTCCAGTTCTACAGATCTGGAATCAAAGAGCTAACCTGAAATGGAGTTGAAGAGATCCGAACTTCAATCTGAAATGCCACAAGAGATAGCTTCTGAATACATCAGGAAATTTGAAGATTGTGAAGACAACATATATTCGTTCTTTGTAGATGATCCAAATGTGGATTCCTGAATTTTCTCTAGGTTAAAGAGAATTTCTCTGGAAATGTTTCTTTAGGAATTTCATTGATTTTGAGAGAATTTCTCTGGTTTAAAGTGATCCAAAGAAATTCTTCATTCATGTTCTCTGAAAAAAATTTCTATCCAAAGAAATTCTGGACCAGAGAAATTTAAATTTTCTCTAGGTTGAACCTAGAGAAATTCATAGCATTAAGTTTAAAGAAAATCTATCACAAACTCATAGAAGAACTATTAAACATGGGAATTGTTTATATATATTATGTATATTTTCATAGATTTCACACTCACATATACTTGTACCCATGTGGGTATGTTTAATTTCATTCCTTCAGTGGTTGTGCTTCTTAGTCTGCAAATCCCACTGATGTTATTGCTTCTTTTTTTTTTTGGTAATCAGCTCGATGTTGTATATATATATGTAATGTAATAGGCTTCATTGCATTTTTCCCCCTCTGTATTTATCTTCTTGATGTATACAAAGTTGCCCATGATGTTAAGCAGAGAAATTTGCCTCCATCTCTGGCATCCCAATCACAGAAATTGGAATTTCTCTGGATTTGAGAGGAAGAATTTCTCTGGTTTGGGTTGGAGAGGGAGAATTTCTCTGGGCTAAGTAAATTTCTCTGGACCAATTTTCTCTGGATCAACTTGAGGGACCTTATACATTATGAAAATATTAGATGTCCTTTATGCTATAAAATCTTAATATGAGGGACCTTAAAAAAAATCATTTTTTTTAATTGTCTTTCTATTTTATAGAAAATGTGAATTTATTGGGAATTCAAGATTTTTACTATAACATTAGATTTTTGTGTAACTATATAAATTTGAAACTTTTAAATATCGTTATGTTTTTATTTTTATCTTCTTTCTATCTTATTATACCATTACTGTTATTTGTTAGTTTGTTAATTGTAATTCAATCATTGGAAACTTTTATTTGCGAGCACTAAAAATTTCATGTAAATATTGATGAAGAGAGTATATTGAACCATAAGCTTCTATTTATAGACATTTAAGAATTCGCATGGATACAACTTTGCTGGTTTGTGTAGTATTCATAATCCCCTTCCAAAGGTTGTCAAAAAATAAATAAAAAAAAAAAATCCACTTCCACATTCTACTCTCCTATCAACTTGATTTTTTTATAAGTATATTGTACTCGATATTTCCTAAAATTTGAACAATTCAAATTAGCAAAATAGGACCCGAAATGAGTCCCATGGACCGCATAACAATCACCGCTGTGCTTCACGCACAACAATGACACTGGATCCCACGTTCATTATCTCACAAGGTTGTCAATTTTAAATTTTTTATTTATTTATAGGCTGTCAATTTTATTTTATTTATTTTATTTTTTTTTTTTGTAAGTTTATCTGAGAAAATTTTCACTTGGATTTTTCTTTTTTAAAACTTATTTGATAGCATTTCCTTCTTATAACGTCCTATCTCTTCCTATTTGTTCGGCTTATTTGAGGAATCTTCTTCCGTAATTCTACCATCTCCAACTTCATTTTTTCTATATTTTTATTTTTTTTTATTTATCATCCACAACTTCCTCATTATTTGTGATTCATGTTACTACAGAATTTGAAAACCCCACTATGTATGAGCAAATGAAGGAGATTCCAAAGTAATCACAAACACGCGAGAAATTATTTATGTATTTGTGATTTGTTTTAGCTAAAACTTTAATAAATTTTTTAGCTTTTTCTTAATTTTTTATTACTACTAGCAGTTGACCCATGCAATGCACATATTTTTTTTTTAATTTAATATTTGATGGTAAAATGTGTGTTATAAAAGAATAATTTTAATTTTAATTTTAATTTAAAATTAAAATTAAAGTTAAAGTTAAAGTATGATTTTAATTATTTATTTTGATAATATTGGCACTATCATATTAATTTTAGTTAAATTATTTATGTATTTTGATAATTTTAGTTATATCGTATTATAAAAATATAATTATCATATTATAATTTTGTATGATATATATATATCAAATTATAAAATAGTAAGATAAATACTCATTTTAATATTAAAAATAATAGTTAAATTAGAAGAAGAATTAGTAATATAAAATTAAAAGTAATTCTAACTTATTTAATTTTCTTTTATATTCATTTGAAAAATAAAAATATGTAAAAATAGAAATTTATTAAAATTTAGTAAAAAAAATTAAATATAAATATGTTGTAGTTAGATTATCATATAATGATTTTATATAATAGATATTAAATTATAAGATAGTAAAATAAATTCTACTCATTTTGATATTAAAAATAATAGTTAAATATATAAAAAAAATTAACAACGTCTAACTAACAAAGAATCACATAACAATATATAAACCAAAAATAATAATAATAATAATAATAATAATAATAATAACATCCAAACCATAGATACATCTCAGTATGTGAAGTAATTAATCATATGTAATATGATATCAAAACATAAAAGAATTTAATGTTTAACAATTGAAAAAGTAACCCAAGGAGTAAATCCAAATTTTAGAGATTACTCGAGATTATTATTGTTATGCAAGTTTTTCCTCCTGTGAGTTATAATTATATAAAATAATATAGAAAAGAAAGTATAATTTCATATATGAAATCAATATAAAATTTAAACAGCAAATTCATAATATAGAATTAATATTGAGTATAGAATAATGTACGGAAAGAAAGAAAACAAAAAAATGCAATTTAAATTTATCACACGACCATGTTAACCACCACCTTTACATCAACTTCATCAAGACACATCAACTCTGTCAAGATCCACCAATTTGAAGCTACAATGGCTAGATAAAATTAAATCAATGAGCTTTAGTTTAGACCACCACGCTCCAATTTCTTGACTTCATGTCTGAACCTTCTGCTCCAACTTTTCTCTATAATAGACTGTGAGCCAAAACGTGAAGCCATTTTGCCATCTGTAATCTACATACAGAAGATTTTGCGACTTTGTATTTGATGGACAATGCCCACTTGTGAGATTGGTAATTTTAGCAGTTAAAGCGTACAGGCGAAAAAAATTAAAAATAATAAAATAATGTAAGAAAGGAAATATAATTTTATATATACAATGAATATAAAATTTAAACGATAAATTTATAATATAAAATAGGTATTTGATTTAGAATAACGCATGAAAAAAAAAAAGAAGGTAATTTAGCATTAAAAAAATCCTAATACCCTTGAAAGAATTAAGAAGAAAAATGTGAAACGAAAAATTAGTATTGGATTTATGGATTATTTCAATTTATCACGAAAAATATATGGGAAAAAATATTTGTCAAATAGAATCCATATAAAATAAGTAAAGTTAATATAATTTAAATGGTAAACTACCAATAGATCCTAATAGTTGGACTTAATTCCCATCAAGTCCTATTGAAAATAAGTCTTGATAAAATTGTCGGTAAAAATAATTTTTTTGTGACAATTTTTTATGTATGTCGTTAAAAATTAACAATTAGTGACTTTTTTATCATGATTTTATAAATTGTCGCTAAAATTTATAATTAATGACATTTTTTTATGACAATTTTCTCATAGAACCTATTAGACAATAAGTCCACTTATTAGGACCTACACGTAAGTACCCCTTAAATTATGTTTGAATTTGTATAAAACTCTATATATAATTTAGAAAATACATACTGACGTGACTCTCTTAGAAAAAAATAAACCCTTACAATGTGCCACCTAAATATGAAAAAAATATTACTTTTAATAATATATTGCATGCATACGTTATACGTTGATTATGCACATATTTTAACGTATTTTCGTGATTGTTGATGATGTTAATTCCAAATAGAGGTTTAAGTCCATATCGATAAAAAAAAAATGATAATTTTTGTGAATTGAATAAAATTTTGAGACTTCAATTGAAGAACTCTGCTGAAAAGGAAAAGCTCATCCAGATCAAGGATTGTTCCAGTTATCAGAAACTTAAGGAAGGATAGTGAGACAACCAAGGTTGAAGACACAATAAAAAGAAGTTAAACTATTTATTTATGAATAATTTTATAAATACTAACACTATTATGAAAAGTACAAGAGGTTAAATATAATTGGATGCCAAAAAAAAATAATAATACTTAGGCCTCGTTTGAGAATCCTTCTTTTTAGCCAAAAAGTCACAAAGTTACTAAATTAGCCAAAAAGCCAACAACCCATACCAAAAAGTCAAATATTCTCTTTTCTCTCTACTTTTTGTACATCTTTTCGTAAAAAGCTAAAAAGTTATCCTAAACATACTACTCCCTCTGTCCCAAAATAATGGTCTCTTTTGGGGAAACTAATTTTTTTTGATAGTACAATTATTAAATTTGAAAAAAGTTGATTTTTCAAAATTACTCTTTTAATAGTACATTTTTTAGAATATCAATGTCATAATTGTGCTTTTTATATTGTTTATTAATTTAAAAAAAAGATAAAATAAGAAATTTATATTATTTTTGTACTTGATTTTTAAAGAGGGACTAATATTTTGAGATAATAAAAAATGGAATAAGGGACTAATATTTTAGAACGGAGAGAGTAATTTTTTTTAGCTCATATTTTAGCCAAATAGCCAAAAAGTTACTAAATTAACATGTTCTCAAACGAGGCCTTAGTCACCCAATAATGCTTGGACACATGTACTTTTAGTAATAATTGTAACATTGCTCTTTGTTCATTAATTTCCTTTTTTTATAATTATATATTTAGATTTACAAATAAAATTGTTAATGAGAAATAAAATAATAAAAAATGAGTGTCATAATTATTATTTTTTATGAATTATTTACTACTTTAATCTGTGCGTAGCACGGTTCACACGCTAGTAAGGAGAGTCAAGAATACAATAGTAAAGTTACATAAAATCCCCCACCTAGGTTTATTCTCACCCAACATCTAATACCCAATAACCAAAGGCTCTTTATGGCTCTTTATGCCTAAGTGAAGTGGGAATACAAAGGCATTCCACCATATTACAGAACATCTTACTAATTCACCTCTACCTATATACTAAGTCACCTTTATATATACTAGACCAATATTAGACCATTACATCTAGACACATTATGTTTCTTATTCCCACGTATTACAAAGAATATCACAAATTGTAAGACTCTATCAAGAGAACAAACAGAAGTTACCGGTTGTAACCCATAGCCACTACAGGGATTCTCACTTTGTGCCCTCTGCTTCCTTTCATAAAAACCTCTCCAAAACTGTAGGTTCCTGTTATTGATCGGACTGTGAGAGTCACAGAGAATTTCCTCGTGTCACCAGATCTCAGAGTCATTGCTGGAGGGTTGGTTTCAATGGCAACTGCCGGTGCCATTCTTGCTGTGATGACATAGGTTTCTTCCTCGGCAACATTTGTTACTGTGCGTGTTACAGTTTCAGTCCCCACAAGATGGGAAATTGTGATTGAGGGGGTATTCAGGTTAGATGGGTGGCCCAGAGTGTAGTTGCAAGGTGAATTTGTGTAATTTTTTATCTCATGGGCATCAATTCCAGGTACAGTGCACAAGAACCCCAGATAATCCTCATAACCTACAAAACAGATTAACAAGAAAGGGAAACTTAATTGATTTGAAATTACCCTCTCATGATCATTCCCGATATAGCTGTAGAATCATCCAAATCCAATGCACCAGTATACTAAACATTCTCAAATTTTCAGAAAAACAAGATACCAATACCCAGTTTGAATGTCAAAAAGTTCATTTTTCCTACATATTTTTCTAGTACTCTCGCTTGTGACATCAGATTCTCGTTATGTTATTTTCTTAAAAAAAGTTATATAGCAATTCCTAAGGCTATATTTCTAGTGTCCCATACTTCTTTTGTCCATCAGGTCTCTATATCCTGTGCTCCATTTCCATCTCCAAATCAATAATTTAAATTAAAAAAGAGAGAAATAAAGGGGCAAATTCCAGCAACCTGCCATGAGATTTCTGACAAATCAAGGGTGACAATGATATGTAACATTGGCAGGCCAAGCCACCGATACTTCAAAAAATCTCAAAATTGGCTTTTTATAATAATTAACCCTACCCAAAGTGAACATCAATAAATAAAAAATAGAAAAGCAGTAATCGAATGACCAAGTGTTGTCAAATGCACTAGTTCAAACTCAACTTAGTAAAAATTTAAAGGGGAAATGTCAAATCAGTTGTAAACTTCATAAATATTAATAATTAAAAACATAAACTTTTTCATGTAGCTGTAATTATTTTTTGAAAAGTAGGCTGAATTGTAATTTCCCCAAATTTAAATTCTCTTCAAATTCCCAAGTCCATTCAATCCATACGTAAAGCTTACTGGACCATTTTTCGTATCATCAAAGATGGCCTAAACCAAGACACACACATACAGAGAGAGAGAGAGAGAGAACCTGCATCAAATATGAGTCCAGGATTTAGTGCAGCTCTGGGATTGACATGGCCACTCCCATAATCAAAAGGTGTTGCTGTGACCAGTGTCATAGTTTCAGACCTGGAATACTGTTGAGCTTGAATGGGTCTCTCTGCTCTGTCCAGTATTGTTGTTGTCGTCATCAATGCTGATTTGATGGCAGCAGGACTCCAATGAGGATGCTTCTGCTTTAGAAGAGCAGCTATTCCTGCTATATGAGGTGCAGCCATGCTAGTTCCAGATACCATCGCAAATCCTTCTCCTGCTTCATGCAAAAAACAATGAAGGAAAAAAAAAAATCTTAAAATTGCTTACTAAGTTACTATACACCTGCTCCCATTAACAGAAGTACAATAAGTCTTTTCATTTTTATTTTAATTTTTTATGTTGGGGTAAGTAATAAATCTTTAAATTTGATACTCCTACCAACTTAAAGGAAAGCATAGAACTTCAACCAAAATAAATCAATATATTTGTTTCCCTCCAAAGTGGTTTAAATTAAACTAAGAATTCAGTACCTTAATTATATATTGACATTTTTATTCAAGGGACAAAATAATACAGCTTAATTCCACTTCTAGATTCAAAAAAAAAAAAAATTAAAAAATTCCAGTACAGAATTTTAATCTTCATTGGAACATCTAAAGAATAAAGCAGGAGAGCTTGAAGGGAGCTGTTAATTCTTTACCAATGTAATTAGGCTCGTCTGTTCCGTTTGGAGACCAGGCAGCCCAAATTAGAGAACCAGGAGCTAGAATATCTGGTTTGAGGATATCCGCATCCTGAAAACTGTAATCTTTTATGTTGGGCCCTCGGGAAGAGAACAATGCTACTTGTGGTGCTGATTTGTGGAATATGGGCATCAGCCCATTTCCAATGCTGCCTGTTGCTTTGAAGCTTTTTACACGTCCAGTCCAATCCCTTGATGTGGAGATGTTGTAGTAATCAATAAGCTCCTAAAATTATGGAATCCCAAGCAGCAAATCCCAAAGGAATAACCATGAGTATGAGCTATAGGCAAATGGAAAATAAATGAATGAAAGAAATGAATGAATGAAAGAACTCCAGAAACCAAACAATTTCTTGCATGTACCAAATTCAATCACCAACCTAAACTAATTATACGTGGTGATTATGATGGACATTCAAGCTAGCATGCAGATCAGACACAGCAAAATTGAGTTTTGGGGACAAGGAGGCAGGATACTTTAAAAAGCACTTCTCTTGTTTCTTGTAAGTGTCCTGTTTAATCCAATCCACTTTTAATACATACAAGAGTTACACAGGAATTAATTCCATATAATCACAACAGGAATAATGTTTTTTTATGGCACACACAAGAGAAATCAATTTTCAGATCACCAAAAAATTGTGCCACAACACAAATTGTTGCTTAATAGCAACAGTATTGGCCAATGGAATCCAATTTCAGGAAGAAAAATAAAATTATGAAAAATAAAATTAACCACAAGTTGAGAACTGTGCCTCACCCTCAACTTCCAGAAATCATATACTGAAGGGGAAAGTCATAATATTTACCATTGATTTGCTAACATCTGTGATCAGAATCCCAGGAATTCCAACAGGAACAGGATCAAATTTTGTTCCTGGAGAAATGTTTTCTACAGCAAGAACAAAGCCAATTGCACCGAGGCTCTTGGCTGTTTCTGTGACCTTTTTGATTGATGAAGTACCAACAACAAAATTAAAGGAATAGCCACAAAGAAGAATGTTTCCTTCCACCAAATTTTTGTTTAAAACTTCTGGCCTCTGGCAGTCTGCAGGGCTGTACTTCATAACTGAAGAATCCAGCAAAACATCATTAGCTGCAACCATAGTGAATGTTTGATTTGCATGCGTAGCAGCTGCATTAAGCCATGAGACATGCTTCAGCTTCAATAAGGCTGAGTGAAATGACAGAAACTAAAAGATAATTGCATTAAGTAATCAGGCAGATACTAAAGAACTAAGTGCTCAATCATGTAAAACAGTAAACTCAAATTGAACAAATATCTAATAGTACCATAATTCCATAACTGCTGCGGCAAGTGATAATATTTTTGCTCACACACCAGTTAAACTAATAGACATACAAGTCACAGACAAATAAAATATAGAACAGTATTTTCATGTAATGAAAAAAATGCTCCCCTGCAATTCACACATTACATCAATTTTTCATAACAAAATGACCCCATAAAACATAAAGTGTATGTAGTAAACCTGGAACATTCATGCCAAATTCAATATCTCACCCTCAGACAAACATATCCCAAATTAATTCAAATTAGTAGAACTTAACAGGCTAAATCATGAGAATATATTTACAAGCATGATAGTTCCTTAATCAGATGTTCAAAATTAAATCTTAGAAGCCTAGAAAATTTTATCACAACACTATATCCGTCAATGACATACATAATCACCATAATTACTTGAAATTCATTTGGTTCACAATCTTTTGCTTTGGGCTTCTTAAACATCTTATAGCACCTTTAAATTCCTCATCTTGCAAGGCCAATTTTCTCAAAGTACATCAAATTATGAGAAATCACTATAAAAAAAATAGTCATGTAGAACCAGAGCGAGACAGAAGAGAGGAAGAACACAAGGGCCATAGGTGCTAATCACAAGGGTGTGGGATGTGTCCAATACTTTCCATTGGTCACTTCTCATATATTTGTATTTAACACTATCTTATATGTATCATTTGTTATGTAATTCACTTTTTTGACGTTGCAGATGGAGGGTGGAAGCCCACCTAACTCTCAAAGTTTGGAAAATCAAATTCATGAATATCTCTAAATTTAAAAAATCATATTCTTGGTAGAGCGAATTAGAATTTCACACCAACCTTTCGAATGTGATGTAAATTTTTATTTAATTGGAGTCTTATTTTATGTTGCTAAGCACACAATTTTTCACTTTGTGCAGTATGCCAAAGGTTAGGTGTGTACCAAATTTTTCCCAAACATACATTAATGTGTACTAATTGGGCGTTGTTTTTTTTATTTTATTTTATGTTGCTAAAAGTTGGTTAAGGCTGGTTTAATCTATATTAGGAAAATTTATCATATAGGTCCACCTCATATCTTACATAGTATGACCTTGCAATTCTATTGGTTACATACCCACTATTTCCTATTTTTTCTCCTATGTATTACATAAAGCAACCAATAGAATTGGAAGGGCACACAACCTAGTTAGAATTCCTAGAAGACAGGATAATTCCTCATAGATTAGGTCTTTTCATAGTCCAAGTTAACAGGTAATTTCAAGTTTGTTGGACATGAACAGTTGGGGAGCTTCTAAATACATACATAAAGTTCTCTCCATGCCCACCACAAATTGAATCCTTTATTATAATTTTACATTTAAGCACAATTACCATTAAGGACAAAAACACCCGCCACCACCTCCCCCCGTCCCCCTCAATTGTGACAGCCACTTCCTTCCCCTTCCTAGCCCCAAACACCAACCACCCCTCCCTGCAAAACCCACCAACATGCCCTCCTCTAGTCACCCCTCAAACCTAGCCCCTATCCTCCCTCCCCAATCCTGTAACCACCACCTCCTCACACCTTGACAATGTCGCTCTCCCTATCCTCTATCATGACCTCCTTTAACACCCTAGTAACTTCTCCAATGTCACCCTAGCCATTGCTGACTTCTTTAACTTCAAAACCCTAAACCAGTCATAGGAAAAGAAAGGAAAGGGAAGGGAAGGGAAGGGCAGGGAAAGGAGGAGTTGCAATGGTGGGAGGGAGGGGAGACGGGGTAGCGGAGGGAGAGGGGAGGAAAGAGGAGGGGCTGGGGGATAATAAGGTGGAGAGAAAAAGGGTTGTGGGGTAGCAGGGAAATGAGAGAAGGGTGGCTGTATGGGGATGGGGATAGGAGTGGAGGGGTTGGGGGTGGTGGGGAGGGAAGGGAAGGGAAGGGAAGGGAAGGGGTGGGTGAAGGAATAAGGGAAGAAGTGGTGGGTGGTTGGGCGTATACAGAGATGGTGTGGTTGAAGAAGAGGGAATTTTGAGATTTAAAGGGGTGTGGAGAGACAAATGAAATTTTGAAGTTGTTTTTATAGGTAAAGCGGTGGGTGCTGAGAGAGATTTTATAGGTGTATTTAGAAGCTTTTGGATAGTCATATAGGTCCATGTGTCTTCCTATGGGTCAAGTTACGTTAGTAGCTCATTGTATGTTCTCTTCGTAAGGTCTAGAGTGATTGTAGTTCTTAGTTTCCTAATCTTTAGAATTAAGAAAACCCTAGTACTTATAAATATCTATATTCACTTAAGAGTTGATATTGTGTTTGTGATAATTTATTCAATCTACAACCTAGCAAAAGTATTGTTCTAGGGTTTATGATCACAAGCCTAGAAATTCCCCTCTTTCAGCCCTAAAACACCACCCAAGTAGGCCCAAGTCAACCCAACTACTTCCCCTACCTCTTGGCCGTCAATTAAACACCTTAAACCTAAAATTAATGGCTGCTAAGAATATTCAGCAACCTATTCTTTTATAAATTTAGCAAAATTAACCCCTTAACAATCCCCAAGACCGTTGGTCATATTTGTTTGGCAGAATAGGATTAGAGGGGAAAATGAATCCCTAGACTGTTAGTCCTAAGCTCTGTGTTGTTGGACAGTTAATGAAATGAGAATAAATAAATAAAAAACTAAAAAACCCATAACAATGACGATATTATCAACTCAATTTTAGCACCCAGAACTCACAACTTAGAAGCGTTCCGACCCCTAAACCCATCATCACATCAATTGCAGGTAGCATTATTCTAAGTTTTCTAAAGTCGTTCTAAATCATTCTTGCTCACATTAGGAGTCAAACATGGCACCAGATTGTATCAAGTTTATCAAACATCAGCAACTACTTCATTCACACACATTTTAGCTCCAAATTATACATAATGACATTTCAATTTTAAAAAAATTAATTAAACAAGTATGTCACGATGTTATAAACTTAAACCTCAACAATTTGTCTGCATTTGCACTCTTATTCCTCTTGTGACGTAGGCCAGAAACCCTCAAGCATAAAACTTCCAAAGCTGAGCAGGAGCAATTATTGCACACCCTTGAGGGTGTTTGCCACGTGGTATCTTTCTTCATTGTGATTATTTAAGATAGTGGGATTCATCATATTTACATTACTTTAAGAGACAACATAGGAGCATAATTTTTTTTGATTGGTGGAAGGTACCACCTGCCATTGCCATGGTACCCTATCTGCACCTAATAATTTTTCCTAAAAAATTGTTCGCCACATTATTCAAACTTCAATAACCAAAAAAAACACATCGGTATTAAGAAGGAAAACTTGAAAGGGCTGGTAGAGGAGGGTCCCAACCGCCAAAACCCAAAATTTTTAAAAAAAATAAAGAAGGAAAGTGGCCATAATATTAAGGGTGGTTGTCTGCTCATATAATAGGAAACTGTAAAGTTTAGTTATAAAGAAAATGAAGAAATACAAGAGTGTAAAATGGGGGACAAAAAGTCCACCAAGAAAGAAGAAACAATATAAATAAAACCAGAATTACGAATCATACATAGCTCTAATAAAATAAAAATAAAAAGGATTCTTTAGAGGGAGAAGTCATTGAAACCCAGAAAGAAGGCATACAACAAATTTTGTCAAATCAACTTTCTAATTCTACAACCTTGTCCTTAAAACCTTTTGCAATTCTCTCCAATCAATCAAAAGCATATGAACACAAGTAGATGGTACCACCCAATCCACCTCTAAGGCTGTACCAACTGAAACATGTACTGTAAGGCCATAGCCATGCGGCAATGTGTAAACAAATTGTCAATCCTTTCCTTATCTGTCCTACACATAACACACCACCATGCATGTAAATAAAAATTACAACTCATCTTCCAAATCATGTCATTGGAATTAAGCTTCTTATGAGCCATGGACCAAGCAAATAGTGAACTTTAAGAGGCACACTTGCATTCCAAATCATCTTATGAGGATCAAAGACGAGTACATTTGGGCTATAATAATCTTATCAAAAAAAGAAAAGACTTTGCAAGAGAACGATCCTCAAGAATGGATAGTCCACAATCTTTTATCAATCGCTCCATTTCTCTAAGAAAAACAATCAAGGATAGATAACAAAGAAGCCTTCATTAAGGTTTATGAAGAAATAAAAAAAATTTAAGAAATTGGGCCAAATGAGAAGAAGCCAAGGTTGAACATTTTTCCAGAAGAAAAAAACTATAAAGGTACACAAACCACGTCAAATGCGACATTAGCATCATATTTCATAGGTTTAGGTCGCAAAACTTACTAAGCGTTCAAACTTTCAAAAGGAAGTAATCATTTACTTTCCATCAACAATTAATAGGAGAGAACAACAGATTGAAAGATGAAAGTATCATGAATTCATGATAATAGTGTTGCTTTGTAGAGTAAGAACTTACTATGAATGTATGTAAAACAAACGAATTTTTCTTTTTATAAGTATAAATTATAATATATCTATTTGTGAATATATTTCCAAGATGATCATATAAAAATATGGTTTTCCAAATCAAACTTCAGTTTGGGATATCAAATAATAATGTGATTGTGTTCTGAGCGTCATGTAATGTTTCTTCCCATACACTACCAAGTTACAACTAAGAGATAAACAACTTGCATAAAACTTACGTGACAACATAATTCCTGGCAAAATTTTCCCATTTCCCAGGGTCAGATGGTTTTTGTATCTGCGGTCGTCAATTGCAGCAGCAACAGATGTTATCCATGGACTGTATGACACCACGGTTTTGGGAAAAGGACCTCCATTTCCAGCAGCCTGTGCAACAAACACTCCAGCCTTCACAGCTGAAAGAAGTGCAGCATCAAAAGGATTTAAAAATGTGGTCTTTGTAGTTGCAGGAGGACTGTTTGGCCCCAGCGAGAGATTGAGAATGTCCACACCATCATAAACAGCCTGTCAAGAGTTCTCTTCAATTAACATAATTTAAAATTTGAAAAAAAAAAAATGCAATAAGATATCACTACGAGAATTTCAAATAGAAAGAAAAACAATCTGAAGTAGTCATGTGTAGCAAATGTAGCCTCCAACAAGCACTCAAGCTGAGAGTTCTTTTGGCAACATGACTAGAAGTCAAGGTTGTAACATATTGTGTACACAAAAAGGAGCTGTTCCTTTTTTCTTTTTTGATAAGTAAATTGTTTTAAAAAATACATAAGAAGGGGATGTCCCCCATGTACAAAAGGTTAAACCATGATAACCTATATTGAAATTAAAAAAGCGCCTATAACTCAAACAAGGCAAAGAGAATCCACAAAATTCAAAAGATGATCTAGGTTAAGAATTGAGATCTGACTATATATATATATATAAAGTTTTAGAAAGAAAGAAAAAAAAAAGAAAAAAAAAATTCTTCTTCTATGTTAAATGTTTATTCTCATCAAATTCATCAACCTTAGTATGCTATTTTGGTGAAAAATAAAACAAATACAGAAAAAGGCATCCCCAACATGTCCCTAGTGTGTCTTCAATGTGTCCCACGACACATGTCGGACACTAGTACACGACCTCCGAAGAGGTGTTCGTGCTTCATAGATTGCCATTAACACCATTTTATCTCGCATAATAGTTTTTTTTTCTCTCCATACAATAGAATGTTAAGGGTTTAGTCAGTTAGATTACAATGAAAAGGCTGCAGTCACTCCATTTGATGCGAATCTTGAATCTCTAACCTTCTCACTATCCTAAGAGATGGCTACATGGACCACTGAGCCAATTGCTTTGTCCCTATCTCACATAATAGATTAAAAATAAAAAAATATGACTATTTTTTTCCTAGTCTGTGTACCTGACCTCTACATATGCACCTCCACTCAACACTCACACTTGAGTCCATGTAACATGGTGGTAGCCCAGTGCACAAGGCTCTTGCCACTACGGGATATGGGAAGGGTCAAATGTACTTGGTGCATGCAGTGAGATTATTTCCGTGTTTCGAACCCAAAAAATAGGGGACACGACACGCTGGGGACACGTTTAATATATATAATTTTATTTATTTATTATATGTCTAAAATAAAAATAAAATCATTAATTCTTATACAATCAAAATAATAATAAAATTAATAAATATATATTTTTTAAAAATTAATAAAAAATGAGTTTTTTTAAATAAAAATAATTTATTTTATGAATTTTAAGTTTAACATATAAATAAGGATAAAGAAAAAAAAAAAAAAAAAAAGAAAGAGGGGAAGAGAGAAATGTTAAATCAAGAAAAAGGGAAGAAAAAAAATATAAAAGAGAAAAGATAGAGGAAAGAGAAATGAAGTCAAAAAGGCAGAGGGAGAGTTTGAAAAGGAAGAGACGAAAGGGAGGAGGAGAGGAAGAAAATGAAGAGGAGAAGAAGAACAGAGATGATGGAGACAGAGAAGACGAAGAGAAGAAGAAGAATACCTCAATTAGGGCTTCTTCGATCCACCTCACGAGTTAGCTTCTCCTCTCCTTAGCTTCTAAACAGGTTAGCTTCTGCTCTCCCTCGATCTCTTTCTCTGTCTTCTCTCCTCCCTCGATCTCTCTCTCTCTTTCTCTGTCTCCCTCGATCTCTCTTTCTTTCTGTCTCCCTCGATCCCTTTGTCTCTTTCTCTGTCGATCAAGGAAAACAGTTAGGACTCCTTCAAACCACCTCACGAGTGTCCGAAAAGTGTCCCACCGTGTCCATGGCGTGTCCGACTGGAAGATTTCAAAAAAAAAAAAGGAGACACATTAGAGAGAGTGTCGGACACGTGTCTACCGCGTGTCCGACGCATGTCCGTGTCCGACACGTGTTCGACACTCGTACGCAGAGCCTGGGAACGTGTCGGTGCTTCATAGAGTACTACAATGGGAGTGTTTGGGAAGCCAAAAAATGCCCCTTTTTATTTTTTTTTTGAAGGCTAAAATCCACAAAAAGACAAAATAGACTAAATTAGCCAATAAGACAAAATGTCACATCAAATCCACAATCATTTCACTTTTACTCTCACAAACTCTCACAAACATCACATCCAACTACAAAAAAATCCAACCTTCTTCCCAAACACAAATATTTTAGCCTACTAAAATAGCCAAAAACTAAAAAAGCCTACTAGCCAACTTCCCAAACGAGGCCAAAGTAAATTCATCTCTAACCTTCCTCTCTTATCTACCACACCCCCACACCCATACAGCGGGCTGAGAAGGTTAGATAACTGCTCAATAACCAAATCCTGGACATTATTCATCACACTGATGTCCCAGAAAATCAAAAAACCTGTGTCTCTATATAATGAGCCACTGCCACTGAAGTTGCTTTATTACTCTCAAGAAGAAATATAGAAAGGAAATCTTTGTCCAAGGTCTCAAACACTAGGTCAGCTATCCTTCTAAAAATTTACTCTATCTGTTTCCCACCCTAAAACTGACAAATCTCGAGAAGTCATCCCAAACCTGATGAATACCCTTCCAAAGTCCTACCCCATGAGACATTGTCACTTCCTGTAAGTTCCAATCTCCCCCAGTAACTCCCTTATTTAGCCATGACCACATTTATCCAAGTCCAATACTTATCCTTTTTCAAATGAAAATATCCACAAGCATTTACCCAAGAGTGTTCTATTAAAAATAGCCACCCAAACCTATTCTCCAAACTGGAGCACAAACAATCTCCCAACCAACCCAGTGATATTTAAACTCCAAACTCCCCAACATAACCCGAAACAAATCCCAAAACAATTTCTCCTTGGCCAACCTCTATGCCACCTGACAAAGTCCAAAGTACACATTGAATATAACACAATGAAAGAACAAAAGCCGAATGAAGAAAAAGATAAGAATCCAAAAAAAGAAAAAGATAAGAATCCAAAAAAAGATAAAAGATAAGTAAAAGGGCATCCTAATATTTTCAAATTTGATTAAATAACAAAAGATTTTCACCAGAGCACCAAAACTAGGAATTAAACAAGCATCCTATAAACATGGGCGGAGCCACAACATAACTAGTGGTGTTAATTGACACCACTCAATTTTGAAATTTTTTAGTAACTGTAAAATTTTATCCAAAATGTTTAGCGTTTTACAAATTAACCCAGTGGAATTAAGATTAAAAATTATTTTTTGGGGTTTTACAAAATTGAACCCAGCAAAATGAGAGGGATAAAAAAAAAGAACAAGAGAGAGATAGAGAGAGAGAGAGAGATGTTATTCTTACTCCACCTCATTATAAATACAATCCAAAACGTTGTCATTAGTGTCCAAAATTGCACATGACACATTTGTTAATGCACATTAGAATACAATTTTTGGGGTACATTTATAAAGAAGTAGAATGGGAATAAGAACTACAATTGTCATTATTATTAATTGCAATTAATTCTCCCATTCACAATAACTACAACTAGTCAAATGACCCGGTTGAATTAAATTTCTAGCTACACCACTGCCTATTATTGCAACTCCTAATATGACTAAAGTTGTGGAGATGACTTTGGTTCCAACTCAAAAGCAGTAGTAGACAAAGGTTCGCATCACCAACCCTCAAAAAGGTAAGGGAGGACCACGACAACCCAATCGACCTGAATGCGATAGAAAATAAAACTTCTTGAGCCAGTATTATTATGCCAAAAAACAAAACTAATTCAATGGAGGAAAAACAAAAAAGAGATGGTCAAAGTTAATTCTTGATAGGATTTGAAAATTTCAGAAATATACAAATTAGTTATCAAATTTAAGGTGTTTAGGGCCTTGGCCTTTCTTTATTTGATTTCTATGAAGCACCGATACTTCAAAACAAATGTGCAGTCACACATTGGGATGCAAATACGGGACACGCCACACTGTGTGTCCCTTTACTTAATTAATTTGCTTTCAGGGGACATGCCAAGGCAAAAATGCTAGAGGCTCCAAAAATTCTACCAAAAGTTTTACCAAATGTCTCACATGGGTGTGGGACCCACATGGGACCCACATTGTGTTGGTCCCACACCCATGTGAGATATTTGGTAAAACTTTTGGTAGAATATTTGGGGTCTCTAGCATTACTCCATGCCAAGGACACATCAACTAGTTTTTTTCCTCTCTTCTTTAAAACTTTTGATAGATGTTGAATGTTTATTAATTGTTGCTTAGATTTAAAAAATTAAAACATCATCCGTAAATAAGACATAAATGATAAGGGTTAACTTAAGAGTGGGGCATTTTTATATTGAATTAGTGTTAGTTTTTGTTAATATTTATTGTTTGTGGATGTTAAATTCCCCCCTTTGTTTTTTAATTCACTGAGGTCCCATATTTGTGTCTGCATATGTGTCTGTGCTTCTTAATTTGATCTTCTACATATGCCCTCCAAAAAAAAAAATACAAAATAAACAAGAGAGAGAGAGAGAGAGAGAGAGAGAGAGAGAGAGGCCATAAGTGTTCAACAATTCCTACACCTTGAATTAGGTTCACAAGCACGCCTGCATTTAATCAACAAGTTTTTTTTTTTTTTTTTTGTTCACACAAAATAAACAAAGAAAAAAATGGAAACTGACAATGAAAACTCATTGGGAAAATTGTTTCAAAATTTATTTTGGGCAAAGATTTGTAAAACACTAGTTTTAAGGAGTAAATTTTTTTCTGAATATTTTAAAACTATTTTCGCACAAATGAAAAAGTTATGAAAATGATGAGTGTTTCCAGATTTGTCATAGTTTTCATATCTGAAAACACAAGAAACAAAAATTGAACTTGAAAATAAAGAAGTTCAGAAACAATACCAAACAGAGCCACCCATTAAAGTTAATAGATCCAATTTTCTGAGTGTTGATTGCAATATAATTTTTTGAAGCAATAAACTAACATTTATAGACTATACAGCAAAGAAACACCCCATTTAATTTCAGAGGACAACAGAAACAAAATTAGTATTAGCATCTCCTATTTCTTAACTCAGTATCCACATATCCGTTTACCTGCTCAATAGCAGCAACCACATCAGCAACATACCCTCCAAAAAGCCTGTATAGTGCCTTGTACACAGCAATTCTGAACACATGAACAAAAGGATTTGCTATTCAAACTAGCACTGGGGAAAAGGGTAACGAAAAGTTAGTATCAGATCTTTATCCTCACCTGGCACGGGGAGCCATTCCACTTGCTTTCCCAAATTCATATCCATGCACTCTAACAGGAATCCCGTTATTACCAGCAGCAATAGCTGCTGTATGACTGTTAAGCAATGTTATCAAAGAAAAAATGGATCAGAATACAGTAAAACAAAGAGAATGATAGTTGAAAAGAAAACTTAACTACCAGTTGCATAAAATGCAGCACCAAAAATTATGATAGTTTGCTTCGTGTCAAGTAGTACAATAGTAAATAAAGCCATCCGTCAACCAAAAGGACTCATAATAAAAAGAAGAGAAAATTGGCAGCACCGCATTCCCACTAGACAATATTTTAGAATTTTAAGGGTTCTAACCTTCCATGTCCATCTCCATCCAGGGGAGAAGCAAAATCAATTGCAGGATTAAAAATTCCAGCTGCAATTGCAGCTTCAGCAAAATGTTGGGCTCCAATAATCTTCCCGTTACAGAAGTTCCTTTTGGTATCAGGATCAACTTCACATTTTCCTCTGTATTTTGGAACAGGCCCATATGGTTCAGTATTGTAGGTTGCAAAGCTTGGATGGAGAGGATAAATCCCTGAGTCCACAAATCCTATTACAATGTCCTCTCCAGCCCTTTCAAAGCCACCTCCTGTTGGCCATACTCCAGTTGGAAGCCCCAAAAATTGTGGCGTATGTGTTGTAAGTCTCCTCACCTTCCAATCTCTCTCCACAGATTTCACACCGGGGGCTCGTCTAAGAATTTCTGCCTAACAACATACATAGTTTGTTTAAGAAAATGCAAATGTAATAGGATTGAACATCAATAAGCACAGAAGTTGTTGCGAACAAATTTAATTCCTTAAACAAAGGAAATGGAATCAACAGTCCAAATCAGCACCTGCTCGGGAGAAATCTGAATTGCAAAGCCGTTAATAAGATGTCGATAGCTATAGAGTTTCTTGTAGGTCCCACGACCAAACAGCATCCCCAGAAGCATATCATGTTTCTTTTCTAGGTGATGACGGTAAGATGTCACTGTTTCACTGAAAAGAGACAAAAATACAGGGGAAAGAAAGTAAGAATGTTATCAAAGAAAAAATGGATCAGAATACAGTAAAACAAAGAGAATGATAGTTGAAAAGAAAACTTAACTACCAGTTGCATAAAATGCAGCACCAAAAATTATGATAGTTTGCTTCGTGTCAAGTAGTACAATAGTAAATAAAGCCATCCGTCAACCAAAAGGACTCATAATAAAAAGAAGAGAAAATTGGCAGCACCGCATTCCCACTAGACAATATTTTAGAATTTTAAGGGTTCTAACCTTCCGTGTCCATCTCCATCCAGGGGAGAAGCAAAATCAATTGCAGGATTAAAAATTCCAGCTGCAATTGCAGCTTCAGCAAAATGTTGGGCTCCAATAATCTTCCCGTTACAGAAGTTCCTTTTGGTATCAGGATCAACTTCACATTTTCCTCTGTATTTTGGAACAGGCCCATATGGTTCAGTATTGTAGGTTGCAAAGCTTGGATGGAGAGGATAAATCCCTGAGTCCACAAATCCTATTACAATGTCCTCTCCAGCCCTTTCAAAGCCACCTCCTGTTGGCCATACTCCAGTTGGAAGCCCCAAAAATTGTGGCGTATGTGTTGTAAGTCTCCTCACCTTCCAATCTCTCTCCACAGATTTCACACTGGGGGCTCGTCTAAGAATTTCTGCCTAACAACATACATAGTTTGTTTAAGAAAATGCAAATGTAATAGGATTGAACATCAATAAGCACAGAAGTTGTTGCGAACAAATTTAATTCCTTAAACAAAGGAAATGGAATCAACAGTCCAAATCAGCACCTGCTCAGGAGAAATCTGAATTGCGAAGCCGTTAATAAGATGTCGATAGCTGTAGAGTTTCTTGTAGGTCCCACGACCAAACAGCATCCCCAGAAGCATATCATGTTTCTTTTCTAGGTGATGACGGTAAGATGTCACTGTTTCACTGAAAAGAGACAAAAATACAGGGGAAAGAAAGTAAGAATAGTCATCAACAAGCCTATGTGTCTCTTTTGTACTTGCCAAAAACAAAAAAAAACATGTTCCCTTTCCACAGGTGGCAGGAATAGGATGTCACCAGTTCACAGAGGAAGTGGTAAAAGAGTAAAAACAAGGCCCCAAATGTCACAACTTGTACCCTAAAATGGTCCCGCAGGGTTCCCAGATGCGACCCCAAAGGGTAAGAGAGGACAAGGGGACAGCATATAAATATTCAAATAAAAAAAACATAAAAATGAAAATAAAGACACAGTACCAATCAGTGAAGAACCTTTTTGCCTGTTTCCTGCAAAATGAGGAATGAACCCTCAAATTGTATTGTATAGACTGAGAGTGTGGTGGTACGTATGACACCCACCTCTCCAAAACAATATTGGATGTAGTTAAAATATCACAAAAGCCTTTCACTTATGCTTTTGACCCCGATCAACCCAATAAAGCATCGCCCAACTATTTTGGTCTATAGCATACACACGTCCACATACCATATGCATAGCTTGCATTAAGGGCATGCTTCAAGGACTAATTGTAGTTAATGCTGTCTCTGGAACTTGCGAAAGCATCATGACTAAAGAGAAGAAACTATAGCTTTAGGAGCTATTCTTTTTCGATGCCCCACAGAAGGAAAATTTCATAAAATTAAGCAGTCTGGAGACCTCATTCTGCAAATTCAAAACTATTTGGCAGTTGAATTATTATTTACCCAAAGAGAGAAACATAGGACTTAGAACTCAGAGTTGCTCACACATAACCCTATGGTACTTGCCTAGGCCATAACCTTAGGAGATTTGGTGGTTGCACAGAGCTAACATCAAATATCTGATAAGTAATGGTAGTAGTTTATTTCAGAATGTAATATTCCTTAAGGGTTTACTGCTCACAATGCCAATATTACACAGTGTTCTACAATAGGGAAACTGATTCCAATAGATATTCTCTTATTAACAAGAACAAAGCAAGAAGGGGAAAAAAGCATTAGTTGTTAAAAATCAAACCAAGCATGATGAGATGAACGCCCAACAAAATCATCTTGTTTATATCAGGTGTGATTTGTTTGTAGAAAATAGGAACATTCAATTTACTTTTCTAATTGAAACTAAATTAGATGTGCTACGTATTGTGTATTTTTATCTTGTTTATAGCAGGAGGGATTTCGTAATAATTTAATTTTAGACGAAAATCCAAAGACAACAATTTGTATTGAGTTTGTTGACTATATGACCCTAACATGAAATAAACTCTAGGCAAACCACTTCGTAAAAGGGCTTTCCGCCTATGTTTGGTTGGGAAATTTGGGAAGAGATTTGGAAAAGGAAAAGGTGTGTGAAACTAGGTAAAATGTAAGTATATTTTATTAACATTTCACCTACTTTTTCCATTTCCCTTTCCAAATCTCCCAACCAAACACAGCGTACAAGAGCAAGATACATTAAGATAGTATCTAAGGTATTACTACCTGAAAACAATTGCGATTCGTTGAAGGATAATTTACATGCTTAGGCACAGCAACCATGTATCGAATGCCCGAAGCAGAAAGTTGACAACACCAATTCCAATTTAGAATAAAAGTCAATTCAAGCATCAAAATCATAAAATAGTAAAATAAAATAAATACTAATATTTAACCAGACATTTCAGCAGCCACAAACCCACCAGCATATAAAATGTGATCTCAAAAAAAAAAGATAAAAGAGTACCTGGTAACATCAATCTTCTCATCAGAATCCACAGCAGTGGCTTCAAAACCATCAACACCGCCTCTGTAACTTATTACAGGCTCTCCTTCAACAGTTACTATGTAAATATCTGCTTTTCCCATAATCAAAAGGCCAAATAACACCAGAATTTTATACCCAAACTCCAAAGACCTCATATTTGCTGTCTGTTTCCCCCACAAACTGTAAATATGTATATGTTTAACACTGAATAGAGACAGTAAAACAAATAAATAAATAAATAAACAAAGCTTATTGTGGCCTCAAAAAATAAAAAGATAAAACATAACCCCCAAACAAAAACAAAAATGTTCAACAATAAATGGGAAGTATATATGTATAGATTTATATTTCAGAAAATTGAAGAACTATAAAATTATTGTAGTTATTAAGAAAATTACCCAATCAACTTCAACAGACCCAGTGTATGAAGCTCACTCTTTTATTCACATTCTCCCCCATTTGACTAACCTGCATAATAATATATAAAACATGAGGCCAACTACACAAGAAACGAATCAAACAAAAAATAAAAAAAAAAACCTCGTATTTGCAGCTTATAAAAAGAAAATCAGATCAAACCAGATTGAATGAAAAGGAACAAAAGATAAAGATCTTAATCACAGTTTTTTTTTTTTTTTTTTTAATGGAATCACCAAAAAAAAGCTTCTCTCTACAATCTTGTAAAGCAAATAAATTGCTAGGATCGAAATCCAACTACATTACACTATTTTCTGATGAGCCATTAAATCATACCAAACAAAAACAAAAAATATTGATGAGCAGAGAAATCATCGACAGGAGCTCAGCGGATAAAGCAAGTACGAGTAGAGAGTAAAGAGAGTGCGAGTGAGAGTGAGAGAGTGGGTAGGGAGAGTGGTAGTATATATAAATAAATAATACTCCTATAATAATATTCTAAAAAATAAATAAAAACAACTACCCGCTCAAGCAACAATTATTCGGTGTTATAGTACGGTCACGTTAAGAAGAATTAAAAAAAAAAATTAAAAAAAAGGAAAATTATAAAGGGGAAATCGGTCTAAGGTTCCTATTCAACTTTTAGTAATAGATTAGGTCCACAATCTGTTCTTTTGTAGTCTAAGGTCCCTCACCCCATTCCCACTCCTAAACTCACCCATCTCACACCACTCTCACCACCACCACCGCCGGAATCTCGCTACTCTCTTCCACTCCTCTAAATCCCCAAACTCAACCTTCTTTCTTTCTTCCCCATTATTATAAACACTCTGCTTCTAAAATTTTCTAGAACCTACTTCATCTCTCTCTCTCTGTGGTGGCCATCGAGTCTCTCCTGCTTTTTCATAATCTCAAGTTCATTTTGAGGTTGTTGTTGGACAATATGATGGCTACACTGAGGACCCGACAGTTTCAGACAACTCAAATACTGCCACTTTTGCAACTATGATTCTGCGAATTCACAATGAAATATAGGAATGTGTGATATAAGATATCTACACAAAGTGAAGCATTCTATCACAGATCTGGCGCACTCTCGAGTATTCATTTCTGGGTTCTATTGCTGGGGTTAGGAGTTCCTCACTGCTCTCTTGTTCTTTAGTGGTTCCTTCTAAACAGCAAATACTTGAACATCCCCAAAACACAAAACTAGGGAAATTCGAGTTTTCCCCAGATTTCTTCTTGTTTCACTAGATTATTATGTTGTTTTTTCAGATTTGTTCTGATTTCATAGATTATTTTTTGTGGATTTAGTGAGAGATTGATCGATTGATGATTTGTTGGGTGGGAGATGGGGCAGAGGTCAGTTCCGGCACCGTTTCTTACGAAAACATACCAGTTGGTGGATGATCCGAGCAGCTAACATTCATCCCCCGCCAATTTACCAGTCTCTTTTTCTCTCATGGTATTCTCTATCCTCTCATTTCCCTGAAACTCCTTCAATTTTATTCATGCATATATATATATAGAGAAAAGAAAGCTAATTTATATGATATACACTCATTGATCGAGACAGATTGGGCGATCCATGGCGGTGTTTCACTTCAGTCTTGTTGTTTCCTTGCTTCTATCGCTGTGCCTGCTTGCACCTTTCACTCAAGCCTCTGATGTTCGCTAATGTTAAGGCAATTCAGAAGTGGAATAGTTGTCAGAAACAGAATTAGAGAGAGCGAGAAGATAATATTGACATGTATGGTGAACAACCCAAATTGCTATTATCCAGTACATGGTGGTTCTCAAACCCAACAACCATGTAACCCGGTTCCTCAGATTCAGACTTCTTATTCGCTGGGATCATCTCAACGGCGTCCCCAGTACCCATCACACGAGCCACATTGGGCTCCTCGTACTTGTGAACAAGAACCGTAAATTTCAAATGGTTAAACACATAATACATATCTTGAACCTTAACACCAATTGGATACCCAGTCCAACGCAAGTAAAAACCCTCCTTTTTGGTGTAACGAATCGCAGGCAAATTATCAAGAATCAAATTAACCTGATACATCTCATCAATCCTCTTCTTCAAGATCTTAAACTCATCCGCGGATAAGGCATTGGTTTTGCAGAGAAAGATTTCTGTCCCATTGGCATACATCTTAAACCGGTATGGGGAATTCTCAATCCTATCCCCCATGAGGAGCTCACCGAGATTTTCGGCACTGTCCTTGACACCCTCTTGGGGCTTACAAAAGGGCAAACTATAATAGCTAAAGGGTATTTCAGTGTCAATTGATGTCAATGAATTCACTTTCACAGATAAGGCATCACCAATGCCATATTTGTGAGGATAACTACCCGGAAGATAAAAACCATGACCCAATTGAGATATCAAACAAACAAACAAAACCCAGATCTTGAATTGATCAAAGAAGTCCATTTTCGACGAGTGTTTTGGGTGATTTTTGTGTCAGATCTGGATAACCCAGATCAGAAAAAAGGCAAAAATCAGTAAAGTTTCAATGTGGGTATCAAGTTTCAGAGATTTCCCAAGGTTTGTAAGGTTTAGATCAGATCAAATTGAATATGGTAAGCAGTGCATTGACAAGAAAGAAAATTACAGAGAAAAGAGAAAGTGTTTATATGAAGATAACGTAAAAGCAGCACAGATCTAACTGACCTATTGCGAGGGAAAACACACTGTGTGTAATGAGAAATGTGATGTAACGCCGATCGTAGAGCTCTCTATACGAATGTAGAGAGAGAGAGAGAGAGAGAGAGAGAGAGAGAGAATCAGAGTAACCGGAAAGACAGTGCCCAAGATTTATATCGTGAGTCGTCGGTGGTGGTGGATGATGAGCCTTTCGGTTTCGGTTATATTACTCTATCTATGCTCGTAATGACCATCATGCCCCTGTTAATGTTATTCAGTTTGTTTGGTTCGAATTTTTAGATTTACCTATTAGGAAATTAAATTTTTTTATTTTTCATATTTTTTTATATTTTTGTTGAATTTCTTTTAATATTATCAGCTTTTTTTTTAATTTTTATATACATCTAATTTAGATGTACTCAAAAAATAAAAATAAAAATGTGAAGAAGTCTTTAAAATTTTTAATAAAGACTACAAAATACAAATATATATATATATAAATCAATTCATTTTTTGTATTTATTAAATTTTACAAATATTTTACTTTTTGAGCACATCTAGCTTAAATGCATCTAAAAAAATAAAAATAAAAAATTAATCAAAATACTTAAAAGTCACTCAAAATAAAAATATATACGTATATGAATTAAAAAAAAATCTAAATATGATTTTAAAAATTAGATAACGAAACATTTTGTATTTTTCTCTTATTTGGGAAATTTGATCAAAATCCCTTCATAATAAAACTTTAATGCATTAACGATAAGTACAAAAAAAAAAATTAAAAAATCCAACACATACCACTATGATGAAAGTATTAAATTTTAAAATAATATAGCTTTCAATTTATATGTCAATTTTTAACAAAATTAGTATTTTTAGAATCCTTTCATTAAGATCTATCAAATAAGGTCCATGTTGACTATGAAATTCTTAAAAAGTAAATAAATAAATAAATAAATAATTATTATCTTCAAAATTGATATAAACAGCAACATATTACTCTGATTCACAGTAATATATTACTCTGATAATATTATCCAAGAAAAAATTGATATTTTACTTTGTCCTTACTCAATTATACGTCTCCTCCTTAAGGAATTTGTAAAGCAAAATAAATTAGACTGTCATTTTTAACAAACAAAAGTCCAATAGAGATTTTAACTAAATTTCCCTTTTTATTATTCCCAATACAAAATGTGAGTCTCATTTCTTCATTAATCATATCAATAGTGACTTTTTTTTTTTTATAATTGTATGTTCGAATCAATTTTCACACATCTCATTAAAAATCAATCTAACTATCTACTTGCAGGACCCATTTAAAGTCAGAGCAAACGTAATGTATGAACTGACTCTAAGAAATTTATTGAGGCTAACAAGTGTTAAATTTGAAAACTAGAAAAGCACACTCCCAAAACTCAAAAGTTTTTTTTTAATTTTTTTTATTAACGAGTAAACTCATCAAATATGTCTCCCGCCGACTTCGGAATCAACTACCTAATGTCGGTTAATCGGAGTAGGATGAGGGACAAACCTTGGGTGTGTGCACGAACTCCACAATACACACACTATTTCAATCAGAGAGTGCAACTGACAAGATTCGACCCAACACAAAAATCCTAAATATAGGTTGTCCAACACTTGGAGAATCATCCTAGGACCACCGTACCAAACCCCTAAGAATTAGTTCGAAAAAAAATGTGAAATCTAAAATATCAAGACTTATATCTCAAAACCTTACCAAAATGTCACAATCCCGTAAGTTTCAAAACTCAAGTTATGCCCACTAAAGAGTAATGATTGAGATCTCCACTTCCACAAGACCTGACAAGACTCTACAAATATGAATCACTTATGATATGAATCCTACACATACAATAGTGAGCCCTACACATATATAAAAAGTCAGAATCAATTTGAAAGTGTAGAGCTCATTCTCAAAAGATCTCAAATATTTTTTGTCTGCTTAATTAAAGCGGGGATCGTCAAAGGGGGACCAAACATTTTCCAGTTGCTGAATTAGCACGTTGAGGTTGACATCATTAGTGACTTACCACTTGGCTAGGACAATTGAATAACTTTTGAAAAATAATTATTCCGTTATTATTATATTAGCAACAAAATAAAACGATTATATTTCTAATACCAAATGTCTCGATCACACTTGTAAAATGTGAGAAAAATTATTTAAAAATTGTTAAAAAATTATAAAATATTTTAAAATCCATAAAATATACATCAAAATAGTAATAAATAGCTCAAAATTTACATATATTTTTATATTTTTCTTGTACTCTAAGATTACTTGTTAAATTACCTTTTTAAAATGTGAACATACACTCCGCTTAGATTAGGGCTGAGCAAGGAATCCGTGAAACCCGTAATCCGATCCAGTCCAGTCCAATCCGATAGGTTTGGATTAGTTTTTTGAATCCGCGGTTCGGTTCCAGATTGAAGAATTAAAAATCCGTAGTCCACGGATTGGTTCCGGATTGGAACCGATCCGGACCGTATACAAATAGTCTATATTTTTATTGTATATACTCCCCCATAGTATCTTCTTTTATTCTATATAAAATCTAAACTCAAACCTAAAACCGTATAATATCTTATTTTATTACTTTTGTTTGTATTTTCTTATGGTTGTTTAAATTCAAGAACAATATGTCACTATTATAGAAAAACATGTTGCTATTATGGAAACTGATATAGCAACATTTAGTAGTAGTTGGATCAATAAACAAGCTTGCCTAATGGATGTTTGAATCTAAAAAACCAAAAACAAAAGAACTGCCCAGAGATTTACCTAGTCGTAAAGTTG